CATTATGTGATGAATGAGAAATGTTTGATCTTATATTCATATTAATGCTGGTATCATTTTTACAATTCTCAGTGGAACCTACATTTTACTGAACTTTAAATCTGTTTGCTTTTCATTGTCAATCTTAGACCATTATCTGCTATTTTCTGCATTTCTTTTCCTTTACCATTATGCATCTTTTCCGAAAACCTGTGTCAATCTAATAAATTGACTTCAGAATTCAGGTTAATTACTGCAAGATGCAGGTTACTTCCACAAAATAATATAAGCAACTAATGTGTAATGAACAACTTTGCTTCTGTAATTCTTCCTTCTCTAAAATTACCCATTTTCAACTATCTACTGGATTATTCTTGACAGAATACAAATATGTTATACTTTCTGACTCTTTTAAATTGCTCCCTTGAGAGCATAAATTCCTCTCTAGCTATCATGCCGTTTCTCCAAAACTCTTAGCAAAACTTGGCCAAAGAGCCATCTAGACTTCTGGTCTACCCTGCCTCACCTCCCATCCACATGAACTCACTTTGGACTGTCCTTTGTCTCCAGTCCCCCACTGACATGGTGTTGCCAATGAACCCATCCTTCCCCAAATGTTCTATGCTCAGTCCTTATTTTATTTGGCCTCTTAGAAGCTTTTGATAATCTGATAACTCCTTTCTGCAATGCTCTCTTCACTTGTATTCTCTTAAATACCCTTTCTTTTACCTTAATAGTGGATCAAAAGGAAAGAAAGGAGAATCCTAAACATGCCTATTGAAGCAATAAACCAAGAACAATTTTGCTTGTGATTTTTTTCTTTTAACCTTCTATGCTTCCTACTGCTAATTATCTGTGAAAACTAACGAAAATCTCCTGAGAAATCTACCAAAAACTTTCCCAGGCTCAACTTAAATTCTGTTACAAGGTCAAATAACCCCTTTAGGGTCTTGTTTATAAACATGTCTCAGGTCCCGTGGAGAGTCTTCTAGCTCTCAGCACTGTCACTTCCGGGGGCTCAATGCTACTCTGTCTTTTGGTGTCAAGCAGAAAAATGCGTCCCTCGGGAGACCTTCTCTGACAGCATTCCTCTCATGGCTCTAGTCTACACTGTATTAACTGCACCTTCCAGAACATCATGCCATTTTCTTCATATTACATCTTATCAAGACCCAGCTGAGTTCTGTTGGTGCCCTGGGTTAGCTAATGACTTGCCATTCCTTTAGACCATATTCTGTAAATACCTGAATGGGCTGGAGTTCTCTCCTCATTAGAATACTTTTTCATACTCTTCTGTTATTAGCCAAACATACCCATGCAAAGTTCCATCCTACTACAACTCCAAAACCCCAAACACCCCCTTCTGAGCATCACAACAAAAACATTTTTTCCAACCACATATAACACTCTACATGAAAACACTTCAGTCAAACACAGCTTTCTCCATCTACGGTTAGAACTAACCTCTCCCCCATAGGCACGTCCATGGCTAGTCTATGTTTTAACGCTGTCCACAGCTATCAGTTAATTGTACAATTTTTTTGTTTGATGGCAAGATCTCCTAGTAGACTGTAAGTACTTAGATAAAAACAGCATCTGTTTTGCTCAACACTATCTCTGGTGCCAATAAAATGCCTAATCCATGAGAGATGTTCAATCAATACTTGAATGGACAAATGACTCAATTCATTTCAGATACAGACATATACATTCTTAGTCCCTTGTGTAATGTGACATAAGGTAATCTATTTCTTTACTATAGACCAGATATGTTTTAAAAACTTTAAAACTAATTAACCAGTACCATCACCCACATTTATGTGCATCAGTTTTTATTATTAGCATTTGAAAATCCAACTCCCCTATTATATTTCCTTTTGCTCATCCATACCAGAAATATAAGTCCTATGTAAGAATAGAAATAGACCTCCTTTTATCACTCAGCCATTTCATTGCTGGCCCAGTGCCCAAGTGCATATTTGCAGCAGAAAGATGTGAGGAGTTACTGAAATGCCCTTTCCTTTATTCCTTCTGTGAGGTAGGCATGCCTCCTCCACTACACTTTTATTATCATCTAATTAATCAAACAATAAAAAAAACTTATAAAATGCTATAGCAATATTTGTAGAATATGGGGATTATAAAAACTTAATATAAATTAATAAACATAAAATGTATGGGATTTTCCAGATGATTTATCATCCTAAACCCTCATCCCTTATAATTTGTTGTAACAACTTTGAGAAGCACTTCTGGAGAGCAGTTTATCACTTTTAAATTCAGTAAGTCTTTTTTCTTCCATCTTTCTATTTGTACAATACAGAGAAAAATTTCTGAACATTATTGCTTCAGGTATTTGGGGGGATATAATAATGATAAATTATTATCAGTGCTAGACATGTACACATAAACTCTTTATATTTCCAATAATCTTCAAAGATATATCATGTTTTATTTGCATTTTATACTGAAGAAAATGAAGATTAGTGAGGTTAAATAACTTTGCCCAGTCCAAAGCTGGAAGTGAGGGAACTAGGATTCTAAACTCATGCATCCTTGATCCCGAATTTCATGCTATTAATGTCCATATGATATTTAGTGTGTTTATGATTATATGTTTATTCTTGACATGCAGAAACTGCTGAATACAAACACTGTATGGAACTAACAAAAGTACTCATGTGGAGGACAAACTATAGCATGAGTCTTAATACAGTTCTTCTACAAAGATAAATTTTTCAGAAAATTAAATTTTGGCAGTAAACTTTAAATAAAAGTAATCTCTCTCATAAAATGATAATGGCAAGTAAAGGAGATATCTGTTTCCATCATTAATGCACCAAAATTGTTTTTTAAAAAAAGGTCACGAACAGTGTTAAAATCCTTATCAATCATCTCCACAATAAAAGCAACAGCTTTCATAAGTGATATTGCACAAAGATTGGATTCTATGGTATACACATATATAAAATAATGTAATATACAAGGTTATATTTTTTCTAATTGCTAATGCTAAAAATATTTAAAGCATATCTGTAAATTATAAATAAAATAAATACCTAATGTGATCTTTAATTATGTTACTGTTATTCATATCAATTAGCTCATCTGGAATAGAAATAACAGTAATATCAAAGAAGGTTTTATATACTACTGTGGGCAGGAATCCCTTAGAAGAAACGCAGTAGCCATCATGGTCAACAGAAGAGTCCAAAATGCAGTACTTGGATGCAATCTCAAAAACAACAGAATGATCTCTGTTCGTTTCCAAGGCAAACCATTCAATATCACGGTGATCCAAGCCTATGCCCCGACCAGTAACACTAAAGAAGCTGAAGTTGAACAGTTCTATGAAGACCTACAAGACCTTCTAGAACTAACACCCAAAAGATGTCCTTTTCATTATAGGGGACTGGAATGCAAAAGTTGGAAGTCAGGAAACACCTGGAGTAACAGGCAAATTTGGCCTTAGAGTACAGAATGAAGCAAGGCATCACCGACTCAATGGACATGGGTCTGGGTGAACTCTGGGAGTTGGTGATGGACAGGGAGGCCTGGTGTGCTGCGGTTCATGGGGTTGCAAAAAGTCAGACAAGACTGAGCGACTGAACTGAACTGAAAGAAGGTTTGACTCAAGTAAAATCTATGTAGAGATTCCCTTCTTCCTCTTTTTTTCCTAGTTCACAAAGATAGTGGTGAGACTAGTTCCTGGCCATTGTCCATAATAGCACCAAAAATACAAAATGGTTGTCAGGTAAGCATAGTATCTGGATCTCAAGTTTGCAGTCTAAACCTCTGACTGTTGTAAGCCATGAGATTTTGCACTTGGTAAAATTGAAAAGGTGCAATCTATCATGTGCTATGAAGAAACTTACTGGAGATAAAATAGTAACTTGCAAAAGATGAATGCACAATTTTGTATGCTTGCAAAAATTCTCCAAGTTCATGATCAAATATTATTCCTATGCACTGAATCCTACCTTTTACAAGAACCAAAAGAACTATGTTTACTAGCATTTTACACAAAGGCAATGTTTTATGTGTTCATCCATCATATTTTAATTATGGGCTTGGCAGTAATACGGTATTCAAAGCAAAATGTACTACAACCTAAGTCTTAGTCCATCATTATTTCTAGACTCTGAAGATGAAACAAATGCATATGAGTTGATGATTATAGGCATTTTACATTTCTATAGAAAGGTGGCTATTTTTTTAGATTTACAGAAAGGGAAATATCAACAACATTATGTTATTACAGTTCCTTTGACTTAAAAATAGAAAAAAAAAGAACTTAGAAGAAGAAAAATAACTTCATGAGCAGCTATCATATATAATTAATTTGATGTTATTACATAAATTCATGTAACAAAGTATCTTTCTGCTTCTAATCTCCAGAAGGAAATCTTAATACTGCATTTTGAATTATTTCTATCACAGAAGCTTCCTGCTATTTAAAACAATAATTTAGACTTCTATGAAGATAAGAACTCTAACTATATGATGCATTTCTAGCCGAACACCTAACTTTAGAGTTACTTCAACGGCAACTTAATTTACAAATTACTCAAAAGTGAATGACCAGATACCAAGCATTAGAACTTCATGTCATTTTATATTATTGCCAAACAAATAAGTTCCAGTCTGAACAACAGAAGGAAGAAACACCTTGATACACTTTTTAAAATTTTCATAATTGTTAATCTCTAAGAGGGATTCACAACTCACAAGCAGTGATGCTGACTATAGACTCTTCTCCCTATGAAGGTAAACATTATTTTGCAAATTTACATATTTGAATTCTGACATCATATGACTTGATACATAAAAATTTAGACTGAGTAATTCTGAAACATATACCTATATGAATATGAAGTTAGTTTCTACTAAACCGTGCTCAACTCACAGGAGCAGACCAGTTGTTCCTCTGTGTCATTGTGCACAGAACTTCTCAGTTGTAACTTCCTTGCATAAGTTACTTCTAGTGATAAAATAAAGCAAGGCTCGCTTGTGTCTCTTACCTTTGCCATGGCTTCTCCCATCCTCCAAAAGTGGTACTACGATAGTGTTGTTCACATTGCCAGGTGACCGCACAGCTGTGTAGACAACAGGCACCGACTGGACCACCACGGGGATGCGGTGAACGTGACTCAGTTTGTTAGACTGTAAATTCATGGGACTTGAAGGCGGAACAGGATGGATAATGTGCAAAAACTGCTGGCCTCCCACACCAGAGGCAGAGGCAACGAGGGGCCCTGGAGTTAATACTGTCGACGAAGATGATGCTGAAGATACTGATGTTATAACAGTCGGGGATGAGGCTGGACGGCTAGAGGACGATGAGGAGGTTGAAGTTGAAGAAGGTGAGGAGGCGGACGCTGTCATGGAAACTGGGGAGGATGAAACGGCTGTAGGGGATGTCCTGGCTTTGTTGATGGACAAGTCCACTGGCTCAGTTTGTGTCTGGAAGTGATCTACGGATAATGAGTCCTCCGGGGGTTCCCCTTTCACATTATTTAGCAACAGGGGAACAGCCTCCATATCGGGGTACTTGTGGACGTTTGGAGACTGTGGGGAGAAAAATGGAACATGTTTATCTCCATTAATCACACCCTTTAATAGATGTACGATGTATGACTTGAATGCTTATTAATTTTTCTCTTATTGCTGTGGAACATTAATTCACTCACCAAGTATCTGAGATACTGATCTGTGACAGTCATCATACTTAAAGATGAGACAAAGGTACAACAAGACAGTTGGCAGAGCAACAGACATAATTGTTAAAATCCAGGGAAATAAGTGCACTATGGGGAAGAAAACAGGCCACGGAAACCTAAAAATGAACAGCGATTTTACATAAAACCTAAAAGACAAGTTCAGAGTACAAAGTATTTTCTTTTGCTGTTGTTCAGTCATCCAGTCATGTCCAACTCTTTGTGACTCCATGGACTACAGCACGGGGTCTTTAGTTGTAGTTATACTGTCTTCTTAAAATATTATATATACAACTAACGTTATAAACATTCATTTTGTTGGTCTGACCCATCACTACACTTATGAGTTTTAGTTTCCATTAGTTATAAATTAATGGAAACTTTGATAAGATAACCTTAAATATCCTTTCTAGCTCTAAAATTCTATGATTTCATGATTCTAACCCTTACTCAATACTATTATAGGAGGCCTGGCAACAATATGGGAGAAACTCATTATGATATTTCAGCTTTCATATTTGGAGAAATATCCACCATACCGTTCTTGTTTTGAGCATTAAAACAGGGCATAAAATTCTCCAACTTCTCACACTCAATTATGAAAGTATTCGATACAAATCATTTCTAACAACTGGATTATAACTTAGCTCTTAACAATGAAAAAGATTTTCTCAAAATAATATACAGAAATTCCACAACAGACATTTTTAGGAAATAATAATTTTAGGAAAAACTTATTCTATAAATCTTAAATTGCCTACACTTACGTTCTTTAAGACAATGGTAACAATTTTGTCCAAGTTTGTTTTCATTTCTTTCAAGTTTTAATGAGCAAAATTTAATAATAATAATAGGAACAACAAACAATAATAATAAAGAATCCAAGATTCCACCCAAACTAATAGACTCAGTGTGTTATTACTGAGCATAAATATAATTTACTTGTATAGTTATTCACTCATAAATTCAAGAAATATTTATTAAATGCCTATTTCCAAGGACTAAAATGGCCTCCAAACTAGTCTGTGTCTGTCTAGCCTTAACAGAGAGTTAAGACTATAATGGATTATTTTTGGTTATATATAATCTGACCAGGCTAACAGGCACATTGTTGTTCTATTACATGAAGATCAAAAACTCTTTTTTTTCAGCTTCATTATGGTATGAGAACAACAATGCCTAAAATTATATTAAATTGGCTCATTTCATTCTTTAATAAAAGATTTGGTTCGCTATTGCTCTCAAACTTGAGCATACACTTAAAAGAACAAAACATGCTTCTTCAAATCTTTCTTCATAGAATATAAATTATAGCTCCATTCAGAAAATACAATAGTGCATGGGCATTTTATTTAGCAACAATGAGAAAAGAAAAGAAATAAGCTAAACAATAGTACCAGAACAACTAAAAAGGAAAATGAGTTGATGTTTTATTTTTTTCTTCTAAGTTAACATGGTTACTTACCTGCAAAAAGATAACTAGAAAATATAAAAATGAACCATCCAAAATATATACTGCATAAAATTTTAAATGACAAGATTTCATGTGCTGAAATTGAGACATAAGAACTTAAATATTCTCAGATATTAAGAAACAAAGGAAAACAAAAACAAATGCCATAAATAGAGCAACTTTTATAAAAAGCTATTAGCATTATCTATTCTTCTAACAAGAAGAGTATTTCAATCTGTACCCAGTATTATCATTTAATTTCTTTGTAGAACAAGGTAGGATGTTTCTTATTAGTGTGTTATACCCATACAGGAATTCTTTGTTGAGGCTGCTTTCATAAAATATCCCAATTGGTTTGTCATTAAAATTGTAAAATATGTCATCAAGCACATACTATCAAACACGGTTTGCTTTCGAATATAGTCTTGAGATTAACTTCTCTCTTTTACTATATTAGAGAGCTCCAAAATTCTAATTTTGGAGATAGTGATTAATTTCCATCACAAACCCCTTCCTAACTATACCTGGACACAAAGTTTCAGCATAGGTTTAAAAACCCAAGTCCGACATATAATTCATCATTGCAGAAAACTCTTTGTAAAGTAAATTAAAGAGTACTTTAGCAGACTATGACAATACAGTTGGTAGATTTGGAGCTTATAGTGCAAGTAGATGGCTTCTGAGGCATCAAGCTTCAATGAGCTTTGCAAATTGCTTAGACTTCTGTATATTATGAACACAAGTCTATATTTTGTAGGTAATATAGCTTAATCTCTCACTAAAAGAATTTACTCCTTATTGTTTTTTAAAAATAGAAGAATGTTCCTCTGGTAATTCTGTTGCATACACCAGAAAGCTAAGATGATCTAATACTAAGAGCCCCGTATTGTTACAGTCTGTCAGTCAGTCGTGTCCGACTCTTTTGTGAACACATGGACTGTAGCCTGCCAGGCTCCTCTGTCCATGGAATTCTCTAGGTAAGAATACCGGACTGGGTTGCCATGCTCTCCTCCAGAGGATTGTCCTGATCCAGGGATCGAGCCCAGGTCTCCTGCAGTGCAGGTGAATTCTTTACCATCTGAGTTGCCAGGGAAGCCCCCTAAGAACCCTAGGTGCATTCAAGTCCTTTATAACTACACAGCTTTTACATAAGCTCAAATCACAATATAGAAAATGAGGGAAAAAAATCAGGAAGGATCAACCAAACCTTTGGATGACAGACATATCTTATTTGGGAATGTTAGACACATTATGCATGAATTTAAACATCACAGAGGCATATACTAGTTCCTATTTCACATGTAGCAGATGAAACACAGCCAGCACATCTGAAAACAATGCTTTATCAGTATAAAGAGGACAAAACCCTCATCATACCATTCAACTATTTACAGTGTTGACATAATATCATATTCTCATAGCTCTTACCAATCACTTCTCCTGTGATAATGTGGCCAGTAAACCATCCATAATTCCAGCTTCAAGCTGCACATACACACACGTAAGACCAGCAATACTATATAAATAAAGTTTCCCAAACAGTGTATGCGCACTCCTCCTTTTAGGAAAGAGAAAAGACCTAAAAGGTTTGATCCTGAAATTGTTATTAGAAATTAAATTTCCTGGATTTTAGAAAGTGCCGGAAATGCATTGACCAAGAGATACGAATTCATAAACATGTAACTGTAGGGAAGCCATGGGAGAGTAGCCAAGAGAAAGAAAGAAAGCTGGAGAAAAACCAACTGAGAAGTCCTGAGAGCACTTAGAAATGAAAGGACTTGAGAAATCCTACCCAGATTTCAGAAAGAGAGAAAAGATATGGATGGTTGTGTGACCAGGAAACAGCATCTAAGAGGCAAAGACACGGAGAAAAAAGCAGAAATCACAAAGAAAAGTTTTACGCCCAATTAGAAAAAGAAAATTTTGTAAAAAAAAAAAAGAACAATGAAAGGATTTCATACTAAAATTTTGCCCTTGGTCTCTAACTATTCAATTCTAGATACAACACTGATGGACAGCTCTTGCAGCAACATCCACCCACTAAGCACTGCTGCTGTTTTGTTATTTGTTTGTTTTAAATAAATGCCCATTAAGATCTCTGTTTGGGGGAAGCGTCTAGCTGAACTTTTGCTGCTGATGACCCTGGTGTGGAAAACATGATCAAACACATAAACTATATTCAATATTATCAACAGAAACAGAATTCCTTCTAAAGACGTGAAGATAAAAGGGCACCCTGCATTTTACGTCAAAGAGAATGAGCATTACTTTCATTTTCCAAAAAATGATGTAATATTTTGGAGGGGGGTCCACAATATTTTTGCCTCTCATTCTTTAAGAAATAAATGCATAAATACCCACAAGTCTGGTAAATGTAACAATCTACTTCATAAGAAGGTATGAAAACTGAAAGATAATATACATAGGATTATACTGCTGAATCATGTTGTTTCTTCAAGAGTCTGAAAGTCAGTTTGATTCAAAATAATTCACTCAATAAAGTACAATGCACAATATTCCAGTAAACATATTCCTTTCAGCGAGATGAGGATTACATGTGAGCTGTTCTAATCAGATCACCTTTTTCCTAAATAAATGTTTTAAATTCTAACTTCAGCTTTAGGCATTTTGTTGAGTGAATATAAAAATGTATCTAAAACTTCCTATATGTGAGTATTCACAGTACCTGCTGTGTTTCCTAAAGTCAGCCACTAGCATCAGATGAATCTCATTACATTCCTCAAGTGAGTTCTTTTTAAAGCTTGCCGTGTATTGATATTTTGATCACCTGGTAATTTTAAAAAAGAAAAAAAAAAATACCTGGAAAACACCTCATCTTTGGAAACCCCTCCAGAGACTCCTATGTGTAGTCATGGTTGAGGAACACTTGGGTAATATCCTGCTATATGTCCTCCAAGATTTATAAGCTAACTCTCATCTTTAATGGCACCAGGGATTTATGTCTAGAGAAGATTAGACATTACACATACACATACACACATGCACACACACAGTGATTTAGTCGCTCAGTCATGTCCAGCTCTTTGCCACCCTCCTTCTCTGTCTATGGGATTTCCCAGGCAAGAATACCAGAGTGGACTGCCATTTCCTTCTCTAGGGGATCTTTCTAACCCAGGGATCAAACTGGGGTCTCCTGCTTTGTAGGCGGATTCTTTACCAACTGAGCCACCAGGGAAGCCCCCACACAGGCATATACACAAAAAAGATGAGTCAAACCACCTATCTATCCGTCCCCCACTCTATGCATCTATTCATCTAGTCAACCAGTAAGCTAGCAAGAATTTAAATAGATTATTTTTAAGTTTACCTTTATAACTTTTTGAGAAATCACTTCAAGGGAGTGTTTAGAAAAGATTGTAGAGTGACTTGCCTAGTAT